TTTGGTTCCGGGGTTGGCACCATGTTTTCATGGGACATCTGAATTACCTGGCCCAATGTTACATTTAGTGTTTCTGGTCTACCTATTCCTGGTACAGTGCCTGGGGTCTTAAAAGCTTACAAGCTGCTACCCAAGGCACGGTTGGTCTCTACTGACCTAGAAAAACGGAGGAAGGAGAGTCAGGCTTGTGGAGGATGGAACGTGTGGCTATGGGCCACAGTTTCCTGTGCCCTGAGACCAGAACTGGATGGTGCCCAGCTGCCATTTCTAAACATTTGGATCCAAGGCTCAGTGGAAGACCTCCCATTAAAAGGGAGAAAATACGGAACAGAATGGCAGATTCTCTTGGAATGCAGACTTACTGGACCCATGGAGGCTAGATGATCTCCTGTAATGATTGCCCTGAGATAATCTTTAACCATAAATCTTACACCCAAACTACCTACCCCCTGAAGCCTTTTTAAAACCAAACAGTGGTTTAACTTAACTAGAAGAGCATAATGCTCAAGGCAGATATCCCTTGCTAAAGAGTTTTCTGCATGGACCAATTGACAAGAGTAACCTGAAAGAACAGCTGGGACACTTCGAGGGAAGGGAGTGTATATTAATGGTGGGGGAATAATTTGGAAAAGGGGGAGAATTGTATAACTCAAAGAGAGTAATTCATGTCCCTGAATTATACATGTAGAAATGAATCAGTGCATGCTTTGTTGTATATACTCCTGGCTACCACATGATTAAATTTTATCCTGTTGAAATACCTGCCCTACTTCATTAGGGGGAAACACTTTTCTGTGCTTATTTATAAAACTCATTGCCATCAAGCCGATTCCGACTCACAGTGATGCTCTGGGACCCAGCAGAACTGCCCCACAGGGCTTCCAAGGCTGTAAATCTTGACGGAAGCAGGCGACTCTGTCACTGCTGGAAGGAGGGTCCACACCACTAGCTGTTCAGTTGACAGCCGGATGGTTGCCTCACCAGGAGTCCTGCTGGCTGCCTGACTAGGCGCAGTCCCGGGTTCACAGTGCGCCTTCTAAGCCGAGCACACTGGAGGCCCATGGTGCCTGCCTGGTGAAGTCATGAACAGCTCACACTGGCAGCTGGGCACCCCACGGGAGCGAATTCCCAGGGGCCACACAGCTGGCTCCCACCAACAGCCCGGTCTTGGGGCCCAGCACCAGCGTGAGGGCGGTTAACAGCCCGCCAAGTGGTTCTTCCTTCCCTCCTTGTTTAATTTCACACCCTCGGTCATGAAGAAGAATTCTGGGCTCTAGAAGGAAACGTAAGACACCAGACCCAAGGCTCTCAACCATCACCTCCTCTTGCTCAGCCAGTGATTTTGGCTGTTCTTACAGCAAGGGAACCAGACCTGGGGAAAGAACCTTCGGTAATCATGAGCCAACAAGGCCTGACACCAACACCTGTCACAGCCAGAGAAGCGCTGCCATCCCACAACAGGCCAATGGGACTGTAGTGCCTTTAATTGGCCACTTGGGCCCCCAACATGGAATCTCACTGGGGCAGCGGCGCATGGTCCCCTGACATCAATAATTGATGGAGCGGGTTCGTGTGGTGGCTTACAGTCAACCGGCCCATTTGCAAGTGTATTTGAACATGGCATACAGACGAGAACGCTGCGTGCAATCTCTGGACTTGGGGAGCCACTGAGTGGGGGCACAGGTCCACCAGGCAGAGTCATGGGAGCTGGAGAAGGATTGGCAGGAAAAATATAAGTGGTGGGGACCCCCACATGGCCGACCATCAAGATTCTCCATCTTTGATGGGCAACCTCTGCCAAACTTGATCACCCCTCCCTTCCTGCAAGCATCACCACCTGAATGGGTTCCACTCTTTTACGTACAAATATGACTAAAAGGGGGAAACTACAGAACAGGATTTGAAATTCTCTCCCACACTTGAGTGAACTTTCAAATCTCTTGTCCTGAGATCATCTTTAAATCTGAAACCAAAACAACTCAAGCCTTCTTAAAACCAGACAGTAGTTTTGCTGAACTCAGAAAGACTGCCTGTATTCAGTACTGTGTTCTTTTAAGATCTATGGGGGATCGAATGGACAACAGCAGTGCTGAAGATTAGAGGGGGCTATAGCGGGCAGTGAGCTCATGCTGATGGAGGCGGAACACGTCAGAGGGAGGGTGGGAAAGACTGCCCAACTAGAAGGATGGCATCCATCACTGCACTGTGCAGGTAGGAACGGCTACCTCGGTGCACATGTTGCTGTGTATGTTCTCAATAACAACAAAGTAAAATAAAAGTTAGGTGGGCCAGCTTCTACAAATCCCCCACTCCACCCCCCCATGGGGATGCAGCACTGAGTGACAGGAGAGGGTGCCAGCTCTCTGGGAATAGTCAGCGAGAGGGCATGGAAACCCCATGGGAGTCTCAGACCACAGCGCTCCGGAGAGGGTGGGGAAGTGGCAGGTCGGGAACAGAGCTGCCGTGCCAGGACTGGGCAGTCCGGAAAGGGGCAACATTTGGACTGAACTCAGACTGCCCCCCTCAAAAGAGAAAAAAGGGCTGTTGTTAGCTGCCATCTAGTCGATTCCAGCTCAGGCGACTGCCTGTGCTGCCAGGGTGCCCTTTGGCAGCCCTTCTGGGTGAGCTGAGAGAGTGAGCAAGCGCTCTTTGGAACGCCCCTGGTTTTAAGATGAAACTCCCGGGGAAAGGTGTTCTAGGCAGGAGTGTCAGCGTGGACCACATCTGAGGCAGAAGCCCGCCTGTCACAGGCGCCTGTGAGCGGAGATGAGGGGGAGAGCACGGGGCTGGAGGAGGCCCGAGAAGTGGGCGCATCGTGTAGGTCCCCCCATTCCGGAGGTGGCACAGCTTCTGAAATGCTAGAGCCGGGTCATCTCCGCTTCTGCGTCAGGAGAGGAGCGGAAGCAGATGCTGGACTGGGGGTTGTGGGGGAGCAGCTGTGCTCCCCAGTCCATGGGCTCATCCCTCCACGCATCCACACTCACTCATCCACGTGAGGACTGGTCTGGCGCTCACTTTGAGCTCAGCTCAGGGCTAGGAGCTAGGGGGCTACGAGCCATCAATTCACTGACTCTGGGCCTCTGCCTCCCAACTTGTAAGACGGGCTTGTGAATGACTTCGCTCGGAAACCCATTTGCTTCTGGCCCGTTCCCACTGTGGGTTTGGGAGGAAGCATTGGCCAGTCACTGTGGTACACAGTGAGTCGGAACCGACCAGAAGGCACATACCAATATGGGCTAGGATAAAAAAAAAAAAGAACACAAATCCTACGGTCTATTAACACCAGGATAAAAATAATACACCAAGAGCTACCCAGGTAGGTTTGGTGTGCACGCCGCCTCCTGCCCTGGTGAAGGGGCCAGTTCCCGTGTTCAGGGCTGGAGAGCGGACTTTAGAGGCAGGACAAGCATCTCTGGCAGATCTGTTGCCAAGGCTCTCGGGTCACCTCCTCCTCCACCCCGGGCTGCGAGTCCCAGAGTGCGGGGTAGGACCAGTGCCGGGACTTCCACAGAGGGGGGCCAGGGGATCTCGCCTGGCTTCTTACCTCAGAAAACTGAAGCCTCCCGAAGTCACTGGGTGGGCTGGCAATCTTGAAGACCTTCTTGGGCATCACCCACGTCTCCAGGGTCTCGAGTTTGCTCACAGCCAGATTGGTTGCATGGTGCTTGACCAGAAAGCCCTGGAAGCGGTCCGCAAGGAAGTAGAGGTGGACAGACACCGGGTGGCCCATTGGGTAATACCTGAAAAAGAGGCAGAGTATCACAGGGGCTCACAGGCGTGGGGGATGGCCATGGCCCCCACCCGCCTCGCCAGTCCTGTGCTCACTGCCGCAGCAACGTCCCCCTTCTGCAGTGTTTCCCCCCCCTGCTCGCCACAGTCCAGCGCTGCATGCTGAGCATGGCAGCTTGTGAATAACAGTCACAGTTACACGATCCATGCAGCTGTTCATTAGAGCAAATCTCTTTGGGCTGCTGTTGTAGTTGTGGGGAACAGACAACAACACAATAATCCCCAGGGCTGCAACTCCTTGACACTCATTCCACTTGCCACCCCTCTGGCCCAGACCCTTCCTCCCCAGGCTCGCTAACTCACAGACCTCGATTCTACATCCACAACTCCGTGACACTGAGCTCCAGGGAAGCCAGATGGCTGGTCAGTTGTTAGGCAACTTTGGGGCTGTTTTTGATTTCCTTCACAGATGATTTCAGGGCAACAGCTTTGGGGTGGGTTCGATGTAGCCTCTGGGGCCCCAGGAAGTCTGGATGCCGTGAGAAGCGGAAATTCTGTTCTGCATTTTCTCCCCTTTGATCTGGACTCTGCTCTGGGCTCTTTGATCGCACAGTTGTTCAGTGTTGGGGGTCAGGCACCAAGCAGTCCTTCTGGCCTCGTGGCAGAGGAGGGAGTTGTGCCTGGAGGCCATGCTGCATGTTCTAGGTCCTCCTATTCCTGGCGCACCTCCTTATTCTGGTGGCTCATTGATCTTCCTCCCGGTAAAGGTGGTATTGCTGGTGATCGTGGGACGTCTGCTGAGTGTACGATGCACAGCGAAGAACAGGAAAACGACTTGCGATCCCTCTTCCTTTAGAAAATGTCAACCGCTACTTTATCGATACACCACACCAAACTCACCGCTGTCCACTCGGTGCTGACTCACGGCGAGTCTCCGTGGGTTTCTGAGACTGTCACTGTTGATGGGAGTAGAAAGCCCAGTCTTTCTCCCTCGGGGCTGCTGGTGGTTTCCAACTGCTGACCAGGTGGATCGCAGCCCAACGTGCAACCACTACACTACCGGGGCTCCTCCGCAGCCTGACTACAGCACCTTGTAGACTTAACTCCTGTATGCTCCCGAAACACAGAATGGGTGACCGGCTGTGCCGCCACATGGCTTTACTGCGGTGGTCTGGAAGCAGCGCGTTGAAACCCCTGCTGTCTCTGTCCATGCAGGATCCCCGGGCCTCAGCTGCTCCCAGTGCATAATGACTTCTGTCCAAAGCCGTCACAGTGGCTCTCTCCGTGACTGGGAAAGGAGGCAGCCCCCAAAGGACCTCTGGCCGGCACCGCCAGGCCCCCGATCCCGACAGCAGTCACTACACTGGGGGTGTCCTTGGAGATTTCCTACGAGACCTGTTGCCTCCTAAGTTCCCTGGTACCAGTGACTCGAACTGGCCGTGGTTCTGTTGGCACCAAGCCTGCCCCAGACTGGCAGGGAGAAAGAGATGCCCTAGCCTCACTTGGCCCATGGAGCCCCCTGCTGCATGCAACGCGGTGCTGGGGTGAAGCCAGTCTGGGTGCGGGTGGGAGAGAGGCGAGTAGCTTGTGTGATCAGGGCGTGTCTCATAACAGGCGCCCTGCTGATAGTGTCTGGGGGCTTAGTAATGTGAGCCCACTACCACCTGCCTGCCTGTTGGTTCTAATTGTGGCAATGGCATGCTAGAATCCACCAGAAATTCGAATCTCTACCCAGTGGAGGAGAGGCTTCCGCGGAGCTTCCAGATGGAGACAGACTAGGAAGAAAGGCCTGGCGATCTCCTTCAAATTAGCCAGTTATAACCCGACGGAGCACAAGAGACGTGTTTCATGCCGTGCTGGAAGATGTACCCTGAGAACTCTTACATGTGGACTCCTAAGCAGGCAGTCACTAGGAAAGGACACGCTGTTTGTTAAAGCAGACCCCACAGCCTCGCCACCCCAGTGCATAAGGTCGCACAAGTCAAAGCGTAACCAACAAGAACGAGGTACCGGCCTCAGCACCCGACGTGTACGGAGCTCCCAGACGACAACCTGGTGGTTATGATACTATGCACCGCAAAGCGAGTGTGTGGACCATCTCCTTGAAGCCTCACGATGCTTCCTGAAACGACTATCATAAAATTAAAATGTGTCATCAGCCTCCTTTTACAGGGGAGTACGCAGAGGCTCCGAGAGGCTTATTGCTTCTGGAAGTGGCATGGAGCGAGAGATGCGCAGTGGTCTCCCTTGCAGGCTCCGAGGTGCTGAACAGACACCAGCCTGGGTGCTCAGGGTGCCAGCGAGCAGAAGTGTCCTTCCTGTCCCTCCCCCGCCTCCTGGTCAGTAGAAGGGACGCCCAGCAAATCTGCAGGGGACAGAGAAAGGCTGGCACCCAGCTCAACACAAAAGGCTAGGTGGGTTGTTGAAAGAGAGGTGTGGAGAGAAGAGGGAAGAGGAGGGATGCGAGGCACTTCTGGTAATCCGTGCTAAGGAAACAATCAGAGCTGAGATGACGGCGGCTCTTTGCAAGGAAGCAGCCATCAGGGCAGCATTTACAGGAGCACCTTCCAGACAAGAGCAAGAGCAGAGGGCTGGAGGAAGCAAGCTCTGGGATGCCAGGCAAAGAAAGGGACCCTCACCAGGGCGGAAACTGCCCAGGAAGGCAGAGATGGGGCTGCCAGCACAGTGCCCAGTGCACACACCGATACCCAGTCCTCGGGGTGCCTGTGCCTGGATACCTCCGTGGGCATGTGGGCTAAGGCAGGAGGGGAAGTGCACAGGAGGGCGGGCTGGGTCCTGACAAGATGTGGCCCTGTCTGTCCGTGCGCTCTAGGACACTTTTCCACAGTGTCACACGTGAGCTGGTTCTAAGTGTCTCTAGAGACTTCAAAGAAGCGTTGCACACTTAAAGGAGGTTTAGAGATGTATGTGTTTTTAGGGACAAGGATGGGGTTAGGGTTGTGCATCAACAAGGAGTAGGGAATGGTGCGATGTGCGGACTTGGGAAGAGGGGACGTGGGCAAAGTTGAAGATGAAGTCCGATAGGCCAGGAGCTGGTAGGCACTGCAGCTGGGCAAAGGGAGCACGGGGCTAAGTTACTCTGTGTTGTGAATCTTTGACCTTTTAGGTCAGATTTTAAAAATTAAGCAGCACTGTATTTTCATGGGTTACCTTTTTCTTAAGAAACACACTACCGTAGCTAGATCGCAGTGAGGTGAAGTTTCCTTCTACCTACCAGGAATCGATCACTGCCCCTGGGACCCAATGCACACATGCACGTGTTATTGCCACGACCAGTGGCCGACTGCAGTAACACACCGGTCTTTGTCTTGTTAGGGGGTCGTTGTGAAACCAGGTGCAATCAGAGCAGGGGCTTCTAAGGGAAAGTGCTGGGTAGGCCAGTGAAACCCACCGCCCAGGGGTCCGCTCAGGAGGCTGTCACGGGACCCCAGAGGGCATCGTAGGTAGGGCACGGGGGCTGGATTTTGCTAGGAAACCTTTCCCCATCCACCCTCTAGCCTTAACCTTGCCCCCTTCTGACTTCCTTCTGCTCCCCAAACACAGAGAGCACTAAAAAGGGAGAGGTGGGGTCCCCTGAGGATGCCCCACTGCTGCTTTGGCGTGTCAACGGGAGGGCACAGGCTTCCTCAGGGCAGGAGAACACCACCTCCCGGAGTGTGCGGGCCCAGAGGGAGGCACGGCGGACACACAAGAGCAATGCGTTTTGACACCTTTGCTTAATCAAGCCGTCTACGGTTTTGAACTCGTGCTCTCTGACTTGCTCTCGTATAATTAGCATAAAGAGCGAGCCGGTGGAATAACTCATTAACTCCTGGAGCCAGGGCTCTGACACGGCGAAACGTGCCAGAGGCTTCGAGCAGGAGCCTGTGACAGCCGTGCGGGCAGCCACACTGAGGGCTGCTTTAGGCAGAGGAAGAGAGAAGACTGTGGACTGCAATCACCGCCAGGAATGAGGCCGGGGGCACCTTATTAGCCTGCCACTTTCAAATACCGGCAGGGTCACCATGGGACACAGGGTTCGGTGGCTTAAGTACTGGTGGCTTAAGTACTGGTGGTCGGCAGTTCACACCCTCCAGAGGCTCCGAGGGAGGAGGAGGAGGCAGTTTGCTCCCATGGAGATGATCCAGTCTCAGGAACCCTATGGGTGGTTCTACCCTGCCTTGAAAAACTCAAAACTCACTGCCATAGAGTTGATTCTGACTCATACTGACCCCCTAGGGCAGGAGAGAGCTAAATGCCTCAGATGGTTTCCTGGAGGAAAGCCTCATTTTTCTCCCTTGGAGCATCTGGTGGTTTTGAACTGCTGACCTTGAGATTAGCAGCCTTAACATGCAATCCACTATGCTACCAAGACTCCCTCTACTTGTCCTCTAGGGTGGCTATGGATTGGCATCGACTAGATGTCAGTAGGTTTAGGAAGAAAGGCCTGGAAGTCTATTTCTGAAAACGAGCCAACGAACATGTACTGAGCACAGCCTGACTTGCTTATTTTGGATGTGTCCTGCAAAGACTCCTGTGATAGGCAGGTTTATGGTGCCAACCTGGCCAATAGGAACATGTGGGATTAATCAGGTCACAGTATGACTGGAGGGCAAAGAGATAAATGGCTCAGCAAGGCCCACCCCTCTGTCTTAATCTCTGGTGATTGGATCAGCTTGCAACTGCGTTAGCTAGTTCTCTGCCTCAAATTGTGAGCTTCACTTCCTGTGGGACAAGCCAACTCATAGATCGTGTTGCTAGAGCTTGAGGATCCTCTGAGACCTGCTTCGCCACCTACTGGTGTGGCCATCGCTTGAGCTTGAGGTGGATGAATCCTGTCATCTTGCATTGCTCAAGTTCGATATCCCATCCAGGCCTGCTTCGCTAAGCTCCTGAGGTCACTGTTGGTGACCTGCCCTGCTGTTTGCTGCCTGTGGGTGGACTCTGCCTGCATTGCCCGAGGAAAGACTCAGCAGTCTGCTTCCTTGACCTTGGACCCTGCAGCCCTCAAGTGAGTTGAACTGAGCCCTCTGTATTGCTGTGTGGACTAATTGGCTATTACATCCCTTCGTGCTGTATAAACCTATCCATATATGTATATAAAATCACGTGTCCAGGTTTTGTTTCTCTAGAGAACCCTGCCTAACACACATCCCTTGCTAGAGGATGCCCTCCTGGGTAGTGAAGCTGAGGGCTGACAAGGTCAGGGCACCTCTGCGAGATGGGCAGGCACCACAGCAGGAAGACACAGGCCGGCCACACATCATCCTGCCCTACCTGAGGTCATCGTGACCTGACATGACGAGGCAGCCACAACCAAAAGGAGGAGGGTCCCTTCAGTCTTGGGCTGCAGCCCCTCCCTGCAGGCACACCGCCAACCCCAGGGACAGACAGACAGACAGGCTCACCGGCAGCTGTTCTCGCTGTCTGTGTGCAGGGACATCTCTGCCCGGCGGAGGCCCAGGCGAGAGAAGGCGTGGTACAGGGTGAGGGTCACGTCGCTCAGGCTGGGGATGCCGTCGGGCTCATCGTGGACATTCTCCCAGTAGGAGCGCAGCCCCGGGGTACCTGCGGGGTAGTTCCCATACAGGTAGTAGTCCAGCTGCCCGATGATCTCCTGATTCACCACCGCTTCGAACTTGCGGGCAAAGAAGGTGGGCCGGGCAGTCTGCTGTGCTCGGGGCAGGGAAAGAGTCAAGTTAGGGAGAGGAGCCCAGCATCACCATGGCCCAGTTAGTCCAGGCGCAGGGCCACCCACGTACAAAGAGGGAGGACTGCTCCCTTTGGAAACAGACTCCAGACCTAGCTTTTGCGCAAGGCACCTGGACAGTTTTGAACTGCCAACCCTGGGCTAGTAGTTGACACTTCACCGTGCATGTCACCCAGGGACTCCTGCCTGCATTCACATTCTTCTCTGGTCTCAATTTCCTCATCTGCAACACGGGGGTTGTAGTAAGGGTGTCAGGAGGACTGGATGAGCTCTTATTTGTGAAGCATTAACAATAGTTGCTAATATCTGTAAAGCATAACAAGGCTGTGCAAGTAAATGAAACCCTAGGCGTTTATGCGGGGGTTGGATCTCGGCAGTCAGGTAGCTAAAGGCCAGAGACTATGACCCAGGACAGAGGCAGCCAGCAGAGTGTTTGGAAACGGAGAAGGCTGGGAACATGTAAACTGTGGAGAAAGGATTTCTGGCTTCCCTTTCCAGAGAAAGAGATGCGGCAAACCAGGAATCAACATGGTAATAAGCGGCGGAGGCTGAACAGCGGCGGCTTCTGCAGACCAGACCCTGGGCTTTTCGGGTCATCACAGTCCCTGCCATGCCCAACCGCTTCCCTGGCACTTGTTGACTTGTGCCCTCACAAGTGACACCCCAGATGTACTGAATCCAAATCTCACACACCAGTATGGGCTCTGCGGGTGGTTCGTCTGCGCACTAGTGTTTGAGGACCTTGCGGGTGACACCGGGATGGAGTGCAGGTCAGTTACTTCAGATTCTAGAGGCCTTCTCGGAGCTACCAACTAAAACCCTCTGGCGGCGAGGCTTCAGAAACTGAGGCCCAGAGAGAAAAACTTACTCAAGTTCCCAGCAAGAGAGTGCCAGAGCTTATGGTTCTTGGATGAGAGGAATAAACACTGACCATCTGCTATCGACCAGGTCTTATAAGGTGGCCTAGGTGGTCACCATTAAACTTTGTCAGAGAAGGGCCAGAGAGTCCTATCTTCAGCTTTGCAAAAACTCAACACTGATGCTGTGCTCCCAGAACAGCTGAGAAGCAGTGTTCCAATAAAACTATTTATAAAAGCAGGCAGAACACTGGTCTTGCCTCACGGGTTTCCTATTGCTAACCCTTAATCTAGGGCCGAGGAAGCTAATAACATGCAGACCCTCTCCTGGACAAGCGATTTTAAGTGACTATCGATGGATATTCGGACTGAGCTCTCTTCCTGATGCAGTAACCTCTGTGCACCACTGCAGGCCACCCTCACCCTGCCCGAGCCTCTGCAAGGCAGGTACTCCGAGTTTACAGATTGGGAAACATACAGAGGCTCCAAGAAGAGACGTGATAAGTGATACACTCAAAGCCTTAAGTGATCAAGGTCAGATTCAAATTCACATCTGATGACTCCAAGTCTCATGCTTTGTTTAATGTGCCCTTTGGGATTATTCTAAATGTCCCGCCACTTCTCTGCTTCATGAGCCCTTGAAACTGGCCTCTGTCAGGGGTGGAGCTGTAAAAGAATGTGACCAACTGGGTTCAAATCCTCACCCTGCTGCTTCCTAGCTGTGGATGCCTTTGAGCAAGTCACTTACCTGCCTTTGGGCCTCAGTTTCCTCATCCTGGAAATGGGGACAGATGCCACCCAGTGACACAAGCCAGTGGACACTCAGAAGAATGCCTGGCACATTGGCTACTATTATACACGTGTGTGGCCACCACCCCCTCTGGCCTGCGACCATCAAGCACCTGGGGGCAGAGTAGTGGCTATAGTGGCTGGCAGGCAGCCTCCTTTCTCCACCTACGACTCTCTGATCGCAGCAGGATTTTCTAAAAGGGCATGTTTCTATATTTATCCCTCTCTCCTGGTGGCACTGGGGGCAGCTGTGATCTCTGTGTAGTGAAGGGAGGCACTGTGAGCACAAGAGCCAGGGCTCCACGCCTGCTAGTATTGATCAAAGACCCTGGTGAGGTGGAATCCTGGTTTGGATTTCAGGAGGAGGGTGCAGTGTGGCCAAGGGGTACAAGCTCCTTTACGGTGAGCCCAATGAGTGTTCCTTGACCCAAGTGGGAGTGTTTTCTTCTTTCTGAATAGGTCACACTGCCCTGGCCCCCCACCCCCTGTCAATCCTTTCTGGGTAGACAAGTAAGAGCTGAAATTGTGCTCAGAGCCACTGAAATGACCCTGGGCTTGAGGCGGTCTCTCCATCTGCCCCCAAACACAGGCTTCATGCAGCCTTCACCTGTGGGTGACCAGGCAACAGCCTGCTGCGTGTGCCATGTGACCCTAGAACCAGAGGTGTCCCTGCGGGCGATGAAGGGTGATATGCTCGACTACTGACTACGAGGTAGGGGTGCAAGCCTCCCCAGAAATGCCCTGGTGACCTGCTTTGAAAGGCCACAACCTTGACAACCCCATAGGGCACGCCCACCTGTACACACGGGGCTGCCACCAGGTGCAAGTGGCTTGAAAGCAACAAACAACAACAGGAATAACTAGAACCAGAGATGCCAAGATGAGCTCTACCCTACTGTTGTGTCACCTGCCGGGCCCCGTCTCAGTCTCCCTACCTATTAGGCCACAATCAAGGTGCTCACTGCCACCTAGGCCGTTCTTACAGTGACCCTACAGGATGGGGCAAGGACCTCTGTGGGTCTCTGAGACCATGACTCTTTCTGGGAGTAGAAAGCCTCATCTTCATCCTACAGAATGGCTGGCGGTTTTGAACTGCTGACCTCGTGGTTAGCAGCCCAACATGTAATCCACTACCCACCAGGGATCCTCCTGCCTGTACAATGGAGGTAGTATTTACAGTGAAGATAATGACCACAGAGGGCCTGGTACTTAGCCTGGTCCAGAGCAGAAACCCCCACCCCCAAGCTTCCATCCCACCCAGGATCTTAATACACAAGCTCTGATGTGGGGGTCTGGAGCAGGCAGAAGCTCCGAATCTCTAGCAGTCTCCCTGTTGGTGTAGGGGGAAGCTGCAGGGAAGCGGGGGCAGCTACTCACTAACTGGATGCTTCAGGGATGTGTCTGAGTGAGCAACAAGGAGGCTGGGGGTCAGGGTAGCAGCTATGCTCCGCTCTCCCCACCCATGCTCCATGCTAGCTGCTTGGGAGTCAGAGCAGCATCCTTGGCCAGCTCTGTTGGCCTCAGAGGGACTGCTGTGTTTTGGTTCAGTGTGTGCCCTTGGCAGCTGGGGTTCCAGTGTGGCACGGGGAGGAGGTAGCTCAGGTCAGTCTGCTTTCCTCCAGCCAGGGTGCTGCTGGAGGGAGCGGGTGCTCATGCAGGCTAGGGAAGAATCTGGGGTAGGAACCTGGGGCTGAGGCTCTCTTGAAAACCATGGAAGCAGACAAACATTTACCCCACCCCCTCCTGCTCTGCTCTGACCAGGACTTTGAGTGGTAGTGCTTGGCAGAGACAGTGGTGTGGTAAGTACATTCTCACCTCTTGCTATCCTTCAAGTATGCCAAGAACAGTGTGTGGCAAGCCTGGCTGCTCATTTCCCAGGTGCACTGTGTCAAAAATACCCATGCCTGGGCCACCACACAGATGGGGTCTGTCAGCCCAGGGGAGTCTGCTTCTAGGGACATTGGATGATGTGTGCAGATGCTTTGGTTTCCCCACCAAGGCTGGGGTGCTAAGGCAACTAATGGCAGAGGCCAGGGATGCTGCCCACATTCAACCATGAAAACCTGTTGTCATCGAATCGAATCTGACTCACAGTGATCCTAACGGGACATAGCAGCACTGTGCCATGGGGTTTCCAGGGATGTAAACTGTCCCGAAGCAGGCGGCTACATCGTCCCCCCATGGAGCAGCGAGAGGGTGGGTTTAAACCTCCAGCCTTTCAGTTAGCAGCTGAGCACTTAACCACTGCACCACCAGGGCTCCTTCCTGCCCCCATGTCACCAGTGCTGGTGCAGACATAGTCTGCACTAGAGCTACTCGGGTCTGTAGCCAGATGGGAGCTCAGCAGACACTCGGGAGGTGCTGGTGGGGTGCAGCCTTTGGGAGCACACACCTCTTCTGGGCACTAATGTTTGGCCACTGCTTGTTTACGAAGTCCTTTGCACATTTTTTTGGTTTTG